TCTTCCCCCTCAGGTACCCTGATCACCTAGAATCCTGGACCCTCAAATTAGTTGAGTTCAGTTTTGTTGCCTGTTCAGGTAATGTTCATTAAACTAACGTTATATCCTTATCTGCGCAGCAAAACTCAAATCAACCTCTTGGACCGGACCGCAACAGTTTAGATTTTTGTATCGGCTATAACTTATTAATGTGCAAGTGAAAACGTGGGAACATTGTTGCCATACTTAGCAACTTATCCAAGTTAAAGAAAGTTGCCCCCAAACAGAACAGATTCTGCACCACAGACTAATATGACTGGTTACACAGCAACATAATCTACAAACCATTGTTGTTGTTTGGCCTCAAGTCTTATTGGTTTGACGTGATGCAAGCAATTTTTAACCAAACAGTGGCTTAGATTAAGTCTTCCATGCTTGCTAGCGCCTAGTTATTGAGGCTACATACTGGCCGTGTTAGCTAAACTTTGTCATCTGAACTTAACAGAGAAGACTTTGATTGATGACGATAGCAATAAAGCACATAAATTCATTAACTATAAACATTCTATAAAGTCTATCAACAACATGCATCTGCACTGGAAGTATCGAGCTAACGACTTACCTACCGTCCTGCTTCTATGCAGCAATTCTTCGGTGGTACGGCAGTGAGGTACGGAAGCGTATTGAGTGACCAGACACTGGTCATGTACCTAGTTATCTCCTAATTATGAGATCTTTTCTCATAATTACCAGATAATATCTCATATTTACGAGATCAGTATCTCGTAATTATGAGAAAAGATCTCGTAATTATGAGATCTCGTAATTATAATTTAAGCTGTCAGATTTTTTTTCTTCGGTGAATGCAATACGCGTCCGTACAAATCCTCAGGAATTAATTATTTATTTTTTGCAAATCTGCCATTTTAGTTAATAAAGCCTTTTTGTATTTTAGTGCATTTTTTCAAACTGCATCTGCATGTATTTAATGATATACATGTATATTAATATTTTTGGAGGAAAGGGAAATCAATTTCTCTTAGTTTTCATTTAGTGAAATCTAATTAAAATGACATAACTTTAGATTTTATCCTATTGGATTATATTATTCATCCTTTTTCCTCTATAAGTTGCTGTTTTGTTTCCATTTTCATTAGTCAGAGCAACCATCACCTTTTCTCTGTCTTAGTCAGAACCTCAGACATTCATGGCACAGGGATAAAGCAACATCCCACCAAATCCTGCAGAGATTAAGCTAATCTCTCCGAGTGGCTGCTGTGGAAATAGAGCATTTGGTTTGTGACTAAAACCTGTGCGCATTTTACTACTACTGTGTCAGACCATGTTTGGACCCTTTTCTCTCTCTGGATTTGCCTCAGTTTTCATCTCCAGGTCCGTCCATAACATTATGGAACATGGTGACAGCAGGAAATGAACAAAACGAGACCCGTCCTGTTTTTAAACAACCACAGGCCTGATAATAAACCTTTTGTTTTCCAGTCCTGAAGCCGACAGGGAAAGACAGTTGCTGCTGAGTTTTTCTTTTAAAAAGATAATTTTTGGTTTAAATATTTAAGGCTGGTTCTAATTTGATCAGACATGATTATACTGACTCTAAAACAATCATGGTTTAGTGAAAGCCAACCAGGCCGTACATCATCACCCTAATTTTCCCACAGATAAAAGTCGTGTCAAGAAAGTCAGTCAGTCAGCAGCATTTTCTTCATTGCAAGATGCAGAAAGGAATCTAAACGAGAAAGTTATCAAACTTCTCTTGGATAGTTGGAAGTCTATAGAAATGGGAAATGAAATAAAATATATGGTTGATCACTTTACTCTTTACTGATTGCTGCCAACAGGCGGTTTCAGTCCAAACAAATATTTAATTATTTAAAAATTAATTTAGCACTGCAGGGAAGGAAAGCCTTATTTTTGGTGCACCGCCTCCTTGTGTCCCCCCCAAAAAATGTCCCCAGTGTCTCTGTCCTCATGGTTTTTTGCACACACACACATTGTGAAGCAGGTTGCAGCTCAGGTGAGCTATCAGGGTCAGGGGTTCAGAGCAGATGAAAATCCTTTGTGTTGTTTTCCCCATATTTTAACTCATCATTTCCATCCGGTTGCTGTGTCGGTGTGTGTGCGTTGGGGGGTGGGGGGAGATTGATGCTTGAATTCCACAAGGAGCGGCTCCGATCAGGGAGTCCATGTTTGAAGGGCAGGGAGTAAAAATAAAACAATGGTTAGTTTAAGGAAGAGTTTCAATGTTTCAAATGAATAAAAAAATAATAATATAAAGTTGTTCATCTTTAACAAATAAAAGAAGAAGCATTTTTCAGGAAAGGAATGTCGTCTGGTCAGTCGCCTCATTTCATCCTTCAGTCACTTTAAGTCACGTTCCCCTCTCACCACAAACATTTCTCATCTAATTTTCTCATATTTGCTTTTCTCATCAACATACTTTTCTCTATTTAATTTTGTTTTTTTGTGTTTTTATTTTAGGTTAATTCCTCCAATTTACCAGTTTTTTCTCTTTTAAATTGCAACATATCACAAAAAAATGTGTTTTTTGTGATATGTTGCTGAGTCCTCAATAATTCTTCTTAACTGTGTTTTTCTTTCTATCTGCCCATAAATATGTTACCACATCACAATAAAACTGTCTATTTCTGATGCAGAAAAGTCGTGGATTATGCAGAACCTCCAACCCAGTGATACTGGAGGACCAGGCTGACCTTTATGAAGGAATGATTAAAAGACTTCTGCAGTTCTTTAATGGTGGCTGAGGAAGTTGTGCAGTTATTTGAAGTATAGATGTGCTGCACATCTAAAAGATGCAGGACAGTGATAATTATGGACCAGGATTAAGAACTATTGCTCTATAAGATTCTTGTTTCAAATAAACCCATCAAAAATAATAAAAACACAGAATTAGGTTTGTTTAAGCAGGGTAGGGCTTTGTTATGTTGTTTAAAGATTATGCCGCACTAATGGCCGCTTTTCAGTGTATTTATACGCATGTACTTTAACTCCAGTCAATAAACAGCGAACCAGTTACTATTCTGCTGTAAAATCTATAAATCCAGATGAAGCTAACCCATTACATAGATTACAGGCATGTCTGAAGACATAAAAACCTGGATGACTCTTAACTTTCTGCTTCTGAATGCAGACAAAACAGAAGTTATAGTCTTTGGACCAGAGTCTCTGAAAAAGAAACTGATTAGCCAGTCACTTCATTTGGATGGGATTAAACTGATTACAGATAATAAAGTAAAAAATCTTGGTGTTATTTTTGATCAGGACCTGTCATTTAAATCCCAGATCAAAGAGGTTTCTAGAATTTCCTTCTTTCATCTGAGGAATATTGCAAAAATTAGAAATCTCCTGTCCAGGGGTGATGCTGAGAAACTAGTCCATGCATTTGTTACTTCAAGGCTGGACTATTGTAATTCTTTACTATCAGGAAGTCCACAAACTGTAGTTAAAAGCCTTCAGCTGATCCAAAATGCTGCAGCCAGAGTTCTAATGAAAATGAAAAAGAGAGATCATATCTCTCCTATCCTGGCTTCTCTTCATTGGCTTCCTGTTAAATCCAGAATAGAATTTAAAATCCTCCTTCTCACATATAAAGCCTTAAATGGCCAAGCTCCATCTGATATCAGAGATCTGATTGTTCCTTATGTTCCTAACAGAGCACTTCGCTCTCAATCTGCAGGTTTACTAGTGGTTCCTAGAATTTCTAAAAGTAGAATGGGAGGCAGATCTTTTAGTTATCAGGCTCCTCTCCTGTGGAACCAACTACCAGTTTTAGTCCGTGAGGCAGACACCCTGTCTACTTTTAAGGCTAGGCTTAAAACTTTCCTTTTTGATAAAGCTTCTAGTTAGAGTGGCTCAGGTTATCCTGAGCTATCTCTATAGTTATGCTGCTATAGGCTTAGACTGCTGGAGGACATAGGGACCCCTTTTCATCATTCTGCTTCATTCTATCTCTATTCTCCCACTCTGCAGAATCTGTTAGTTCAATCTCTAACGTTCTGCTCTCTCTGCTTTTTCTCATAGTAGCTTCATCTGGTCTGTTCCTGTTTGGCTGTGACTCCATCCTGGAGAGAAATATCAGCTGTGCTGCTGCCATCAACACCTTTGTTTCTAGATGTTGGAGCTTGGCCTGTTTTCCAGTGTAGTCCTGTTTCTCTGACTGTGACTAACTGGATGTGCTCTCTTCATCCTCTGACATGGGAGCTGGCTCGGAGCTCGTCTGCCTGGCTGTGTGTTTCCTGGATGGGGCCGCCTGTGGAGCTGCTTGACAGTTGCCTTTTGTATCTATGCTTCTTTTTCTATGTCTGCTTCTGTCTCCTTGAACCCCAGTGGGCCTCAGCAGATGGCCGCTCACACTGAGCCTGGTTCTGCTGGAGGTTTCTTCCTGTTCAAAGGGAGTTTTTCCTCTCCACTGTCGCTACAAGCATGCTTAGTGTGAGGGATTGCTGAAGAGTCAATGAGTCGATGCAATCAGCTGGTTTTCCTTAGATAGAAAACTTTGAATCAATCTGACTGGATGATCTGGTGAACTGGAAAGTGACCTGAGATGACATGTTGTGAATTTGGCTCTATAGAAATAAACTGAATTGAATTGAATTGTAAGCCAACCATTTATAACTTTATGTCAGGTTCTATATCAGTCCTAATTCTGAAAGTTAGGATGTTTTATCAAGGACATGAAAGTAAATATGTGGGAGGAGATGAAGGAAAGGGTACAGGGAAGGAGCTGAGCAAAGATGTATTTAGGACTGATTGCCACTAGATAGAAGCAATTCCACTACTGAACCTTGACTTCACATGTTTAGTGAACCGGAACTGTTTGAGGACTCCCACATGTGAAATATCAACCTAAAATGTTTTATACTTCACCAATAAAATGTACCAACAACTAAAGACACCTATGACAATTCGAAAAAGAATTTATTTGTTACTGGTATAAAAAAAATTGAACAAATATTTACAGAAGGAAAAGTTTTAATTTCCCATTTCTAAATATTTTCAGGATCAATTGTTCATCTGATGAATGCATCTATTCAACCAAGACAATCGTCTTAATGCATCAACAAATGTGATTATTCCAGAATTCAATTATGTTCATTGTTCTACACTCACTGAATGATGACTCCTCATGCTTTTAAGCTAAGTTTAAATTACAGACTTTGGTTTATTCTCAAATACCTTAGAACTATTTGCACTAAAAAGAAAGTTTGAACTATTTAAGACTAAACTAAAGAGCATAACATGATTGTCAACACAGAACATTGTTGGATATGATTGCAGGAAATAAGGCTGTGTTGTGTTCCCGGTGGTGCGCACTGCAGCTTGCCAAAAAATATGAACACATTAATTTGGGTGAAGGTTACAAAGACTGGATATTTAACGACATTAACTTAGCAGAAGGTTTAACATTATTACAGGAAGTACAGAAACTAAATGTTACACAACGAATAAATGAGCTAAAAGCAGCATTTTGTTACTGACTGAAACATCTCTTATAAATAAAGGTAAGTAGAATGAGCTCTACATGAAGTATGCTGGAGCTGAGTACAACAGATAAGGGTTGAGTTTAGGGTTTGCTGATGGAAGAGGGCCGTTCTCATGCGCATGGCGTCGATAGTAGCGACGGAGCGCAGGGCTTGTTGGATGATGTTGCCTCACATGAAGGAAGTACTCATCAGGGCGACTTGAGGTAAATCCACAGTCCTCACACACAAAGATCTTGGACCTCCTCTGCCGGTAAGCGTAGTGCTGGTGAACACCATGAATCTTTCTCATATGGGACTCCAAAGAGCAACGTTGGGTAAAAGCTTTCTCACACAGCTCACATTTGTACGGTCGGATACCTGCAGGAGGAAGGAGAAAAAAATCGCTTTGGTTTTGGTTGTTTATATTGCAACTGATCGAAATGCATTTTTTTATTTGTTATAATTTGTTGCAGATTTTAAATGAAAGATTTTCTTTATGCACAAATGTATATGGGGACACAGATCTTCCACTTCATGCTATTTTAGAGGAATGTGCAAAACCTGTGTTTAACTAGCGCAGTTTGCTGCAGATCAGAGAGAAGTTTGATCATTTTTTTCAGATAAAACTTGTTAATGCATAAATTAATTGATGATGCTTCCAAAATTATGATTTATTAAAAAATTGTATTCAACTAACACCTATTGTTGCATCACAGTAAACCAGGTCTTCACAGCTTAATTTTTCATATTCCTTGTTCTTTAGTGTCTTGTTTTAAATTTGTATTTTTTTATTGGCTATAGGGAAAGTTGACTGTCTGCTAATTAGCTCTTTCAGCCTGATATTTACTTTATATGTTTGTGTTCAGTGTTGGTTCACCATGATTTACACTCTTCCCAAAATGATCCTACTAGTAAATCGATGTATTCACCCCTAGCCCTAATCACTTTTTCCTCTTATCTGGGTCTTGGTCCATAATTATTTAATTATTAATTATGCACCCAAGTAATAAACTATGAACCAAATGGTCCTTTACCCCCTTATACATGTGTCTGGTACATCAGTGTCCTGTTTAAAGATTCAAAGAAGGTTTTGTAGATGCAGGTGACATTTCTAACCTGTATGTGTTCGCATGTGCCTCTTGAGGTCAAAAGTGTCATTGAATCCTTTGCCACAGAATCGACAGGGATGCCTCTTCACCAGACTGTGGCATTTGAGGTGGCGTGTTAGCATGCGCTGCAGGGGAAAGATTTTGTGGCACAGCGAGCATGCAAAATCCCCGGAAACAGGTGTACTGCGAGGGCGAGTCTGGAAAAGGAAAAAAGTTCATTACAGATTTGGACAGTGTAATAACTGTAGACTCACTTTGTTCTCATATCTTGTCATAACAGATCAGATCTAAATTTAATTGAGCTTCGATGTAAAATGACAATAACAGAATTCAATTAAATGCTGTTTAGCTTCCTTCTTTATAATATTTAAATGAACTGTTCAGCACTGCAAACCTGTACTGTGTAGTTAAAGTTTTTCCTAGTTTTGCTGTGATAGGCCAACAATTCAATTCAGTGTCGTCATCAGACTCATCGTCTTCTACCTTAAACCTGAAACCGGGTCTGAGCAGCGACTCCCAACCTTCCCTCTATCCAGAACCTTTCCTCCAGCTCTGCTAAAGAAAGCCCAAAGTGCTCCCAGGCCACCCCGGGAAGACATAGTGTTTCCATGGTGTCCCCTGGTCCTCCTCCTGATGGGATGTGCTTGGAACCCCTCAGAGGGAGGATTCAGGAGGCATCTGATAAAGATTTTTGACCCTCCTCAGCTGACTCCTCTGAATGAGGAGGAGAAGAAGCTCTGCTCTGATTCTCTCCTGTTCGACCAAGTTTCTGTCATATCTCTACAGCAGCACCTCGAACCAAACGTGGCATATGGCATATGTCAGTTCCCAACTATTGGGAACCGGCTTATGCCAGTTTGGACCCTGTGTATGCTAGCTGGGAACCAGGATATGCCAGTTGGGAACCGGCTCATGCCAGTTGGGAAACAGAGTATGCCAGTTGGGAACCGGCTCATGCCAGTTGGGA